AAAGTACGTAAAAGTGTTTTGCGAACTTTGATTTTCATATATAAATGTGAATCCAATATACCATATAATCGGGCAAGTTGAATATGTGGTTATGCATAACAAAAAATTCCATAGGTTTCAATACTAACATTTTCTATTGAAAATGTTATAGACTTTGATCCATATAATAGAGAAACATATAGACCTCATTGATGTATTTGAAAAAATGCACATTCGGACGAATTCGAAGAATCTGATGATGGAGTAGATTGTAATAAAGATAATTACCTTCCTAATGATTCAAAAAATATTTTTAGAAGTGTTTTATTTTATATTTCTGTTTTAGCGAGGGTTTTCCAAGGGTTTTGCGAGGGATTACTAGTAATGTCCTCGCAAAATCATACCCTAAATCAATGAGTTTGCGAGGGATTTGCAAGACGTTCGTAGTACTTCCCTCGCAAATCTATACCCTAAACCCTAAATTATTTAAAATATTTATGCATATTTTTAATCATATTTAATCATGTCTTTGTGGTTTTTAATCATGAATCATATAGTATAAATAAGAATAAATGAATAAATAAGAATTGGTTGTGGTAAATGAATCATAGTATAAATAAGAATAAATGAATCATATATGATTAATCATATTTCATCATGTCTTTGTGGTTTTTTAAAATAACCTAATTAAGAGTTTGCGAGGGATTTACTAGGGCGCCTCGCAATTCCCTCGCAATATATGCCTCGTTTTAATTGGTTGTTCTGGCGGTTCCTCGCAAAATCCTAGCAAATTTTGCGAGGGAGGTGCGACGTGTAAAATATCTATATATATATACGGATGACCTAGTTTGAGCTTAGCTCAAACCCAGCCACATATCGCGAAAACCCTAATCTTTCCGATCTCTTCCTTCTCTGATTCTCTCTTCTCCGATCTCTTCATGCTCCAATTATCTTCTCCGATTCTCTCTTCTCTGATTCACTTCATACTCCGATTCTCTCTTCCTCTCACTTCTTCTCCGATTTTCTCTTCATCTTCTCAGATCTGAAGATTCTCATCCTCGAGATCTGAAGATTCTCATCCTCGATTTGAAAGGTTAAGTGTTTTCTTTCTCATTTTTTTGTATTTTTCTTCTCCGATTTAGGGTTTTAATTCGATTTAGGGTCTAACTTGTTGATTCAGGTAGAGGTAGAAAGGTTCTAAACTTGTTGATTCAGGTAGAGGTAGAAAGAAGCAGAGTTTCACGACGCCCTTCAGCGGCAGCGGAGGAGAACGGCGGCGAAGGAGTACGGCGGAGGAGAACGGCGGCAAAGGAGAACGGCGGCGGAGGAGTACGGCGGAGGGGTGCGGCGGAGGGCAAGCTTTGAAGCTTTTTAATTTTCTTATTTTTTTCTCTAATTAAGTTTGTTTTGTTTAATTGTAATCAAAATTAATAAATAAATAATTTTTGATATTTTGATTAACAACTAATAATCTAAATAAAAAATCATTTTCGATATTTTGGTTTTATATATAATAGTAAAAACTTTAATAGAATTAAATTAAAAATAATATATATATAGTATGCATATATATAATATAATTTAAATTAAAAAAAAATTGTTTAAAAGAATTGTAGTTGCAAGACATTTGCTACCGTAAAAATTCCTCGCAAATTGTGCGTGTTTTGCGAGGAAAAAATTTCCTAGCAAAATTTGCGAGGGAATTACAACGCTAACCGATTTGCGAGACGCGAATTGCGAGGAACTGTTGTTTCTCGCAAATCCCTTGCGATTGTCGTTTTGCGAGGGATTAGCAAGGAATCCTTCCCTCGCAAAACGCGTGTTTTCTTGTAGTGATAAATGAACATATCCAGATATATACATTTATATATTGAACTTTTAAGATTTACTACATATTTTTAGAGCTTAATAATAGTTTAAGATGAACATCATCTAACTGTTTCGAAATTGGACAAAGTAAGGCTTGGCAACGAAAACTTACTAATCAAGTAAAGTTTAACCATATTGCTACAACGAAACTTTTGCTAGGTTACGAATTTATGGTACATATATGCATATATATATATATAACAAATTTGAGATATGTTAAAGATTTTCTAGGTCTAATTACAAAAATTGTAAAAAAGACTACAGAAACGTACGCACAAAAGTGTTACCTTATCTTTATCGGAATTTTTATTGTATATATATAAAGATAAGATTCTCTTTTTATATGAAGTCAGTTTAAGATTTATTTTATTAACAACAAAAAAATATTTTTCATTGCTAGGCTTTGAACGTGGAATTTTACTAATCTAGTAACCTGGAATCTAGTAAAATTTAACCATAGTGTTACAACAGAACTTTTGTTATGTTGTGAATTTATGGTATATATATATATCAAATTTGAGATATGTTATAAAAAAATTAGGCCTGATTACTAAAATTGTAAAAAGGAATTACAAAAGCGTCCGCACAAAAAGGTTTACCTTAGAATTTTAATTATTTTTATCTCCAAAAACAATGGGCTTTTTATTACGATAGACGAAAAAATAAAAATATTACGATATTGGGCTTAACTATTCCTGGCCTGTAAGTAAATCAGCGAAACGACAGCGTATTCTAGTCAATATCTATCCAGTAAAAAGAGAAAAAAACACACAATATTCTCTGCCTCGGATCCACGCAACTATTAACCCCAGTCAGATTCAACACTAACCACAGTTAACACGAACCCTTTTAATCTTCCTCCACGTGTCAAAATCAACGGCCAAACAAAATCTTTCATCCTCTATATAAAACACTACCAAAACCCTAATTTCTTTCACACAATCACAAAACCTAATCTTCTTCTCCAATCAATCTCAAAAAAAAAAATGGCACCAAACCCTAAAGTTTACTTCGACATGGCCGTCGGAGGTCAACCAGCTGGTCGTATCGTGATGGAGCTTTTCGCCGACACAACACCAAAAACCGCCGAGAATTTCAGAGCTCTCTGTACCGGAGAGAAAGGAATCGGAAAATCTGGTAAGCCATTACACTACAAAGGGTCAAGCTTTCACCGTGTGATTCCGAAATTCATGTGTCAAGGAGGTGATTTCACCGCTGGGAATGGTACCGGAGGTGAATCTATCTATGGATCGAAGTTCAAAGATGAGAACTTTATCAAGAAACACACAGGACCAGGTATTTTGTCTATGGCTAACGCTGGTGCCGACACTAATGGATCTCAGTTTTTTATTTGTACTGAGAAGACTTCATGGCTCGATGGGAAACATGTTGTGTTTGGTCAAGTTGTTGAAGGATTGAATGTTGTTAGAGATATTGAGAAGGTTGGATCTGACTCTGGAAGAACTTCTAAGCCTGTTGTTATTGCTGATTGTGGTCAGATTTCTTAGATCTGTCTGAGAGAGAGAGAGAGTGAGAGGTTGATGATGATCTACAATGGTAGCTTTGTGTTGTTTTCTTTTCATGTTTTGTGTTTTTGATGTTTCTTGCTTTTGTGAACTTTGAGTTTGGTTGCTACCATTGAATAATAATGAGAATAAATCTTTAGGTTATTATTGTTTTTTGTTATTAAGCATCTTAGAATTGTCAAGCTTCGTATAAACCATAAAAATTGAGAAGTAGACAGATTTGTAATTTGGATATTATTGGACTGCACGAAGCATCATCATCAAGTGTTGAGCATCTTAGAATTGTCAAGCTTAATATATAAAAATATATATGAGAAGTAGACTTGGTTCTTATTGGATATGGTGAAGTAATGATATTTTGGACTATGCGACAAAAAGTATATGATTTTTATGAACAAGAAAATGAAATGGATGTGATTGGTCGGACTTTTAGGTATCATAGAGCGGCATGGAAAAAGGTTAAACTTTATTGATATTTTTCTCGCAAATTAGTGAAAAGTTAAGTCTTTTTCTATGTGGTTATGTTTTGAACACGAGGAAGAAAGCAAAACCAGAGAACCCCAATTATGAATTTGTAGTGAAGGCCCATTATAGAAGGCCCTTTAGCAAGTGTATGCCATGAGAATGAGAATGAGAATGAGATAGTGTTATTTTTATTTACAACAAACACACTTTTTATTGATTAATAAAAAACGTTTGCTATATACGTAATTAACCAAATGAAAGCAAAAATGTTGATAAAAGAAACATGAATTATTACTACAAGATTTTCTTGGGAAGAGGTTATGGTCTTGACATTTTTTGTTTTACTCGTAGATTAATTTCTTTGAATATCATGTATCCAATATGATGAATCTTATATAAACAGTATGCGATTGTGATATTGAGCCTCATCAAACAATGAATTACCCAAATCAACCCATATGAATCTAGGTGCAAAACTGATAAACAACGCCTTAAACCCTTGACCGATAGAACATTAATAGAAAACTAAAACAAAAATTATTTCGAACCCGGAATTTTTCAAATTCAAAGGAGGAATTTAACCATTGTGCTACAGCAGAAGTTTTGATGATTTATGAATATATCATGCATATATACATTTAAGATTTTATTACACATTTTAAGATTTTATTACAGATTTTTTACAAAAAGTATTTCCGCAGCTAGGCTTTGAACCCGGAATTTTCCAAATTCAGAAGAGGAATTTAGCCATAGTGGTACAGCGGAAGTTTTTATGATTTATGAATATATCATGCATATATACATTTGAGTATTAAACTTTTTAAAATTTATTACAAATTTTAAGATTTTTTACAAAAAGTATTTCGCTGCCGGGCTTTAAACCGGGAATTTTCCAAATTCACAAGAGGAATTTAGCCATAGTGCTACAGCGGAAGTTTTGATGATTTAGGAATATATCATGCATATTTACATTTAAGTATTAAACTTTTTAAAATTTATTACAGATTTTAAGATTTTTTATAAAAAGTATTTCCGCTGCCGGGCTTTGAAACCGGAATTTAGCCATAGTGCTACAGCTATGAATATATCGTGTATTTATACAATTATGTATCAAACTTTTTAAGATTTATTACAGATTTTAAGATATTTTACAAAAAGTATTTCCGCTGCCGGGCTTCGAACCCGGAAATTTTCAAATTCATAGAAGGAATTTAGCCATTGTGCTACAGCGGAAGTTTTGTTATGCTATGAATATATCGTGTATTTATACAATTATGTATTAAACTTTTTAAGGTTTAGTACAGATTTTAGATTTTTTACAAAAAGTATTTCCACTGTCGGGCTTCAAACCCGGAATTATTCAAAATCAAAGGAGGAATTTAGCCATTGTGCTACAGCGGAAGTTTTATTATGCTAAGAATATATCTTGTATTTATAAAATTATGTATTCAACTTTTTAAGTTTTATTACAGATTTTAAGATTTTTTACAAAAAGTTTTCCGCTGCCGGGCTTCGAACCCGGAATTTTTCAAATTAAAAGAAGGAATTTAGCCATTGTGCTACAGCAGAAGTTTTGTTAAGCTATGAATATATAGTGTATTTATACAATTATGTATTAAACTTTTTAAGATTTATTACAGATTTTAGATTTTTTACAAAAAGTATTTCCGCTGCCCGGTTTCGAACCCGTACTTTTCAAATTCAGAAGTGGAATTTAGCAATTGTGCTACATCGGAAGTTTTGTTAAGCTATGAATATATCGTGTATTTATACAATTATGTATTAAACTTTTTAAGATTTATTACAGATTTTAAGAAGTATTTCCGCTGCCGGGCTTCGAACCCAGAATTTTTCAAATTCAAAGAAGGAATTTAGCCATTGTGCTACAGCGGAAGTTTTGTTAAGCTATGAATATATCGTGTATTTATACAATTATGTTTTAAACTTTTTTAAGATTTATTATAGTTTTCAAGATTTTTACAAAAAGTATTTCCGCTGCCGGGCTTCGAACCCGAAATTTTTCAAATTCAAAGAAGGAATTTAGCCATTGTGCTACAGCGGAAGTTTTGTTAAGCAATGAATATATCGTGTATTTATAACAATTATGTATTAAACTTTTTAAGATTTATTACAGATTTTAGATTTTTTACAAAAAGTATTTCCGCTGCCCGGTTTCGAACCCGTACTTTTCAAATTCAGAAGAGGAATTTAGCAATTGTGCTACATCGGAAGTTTTGTTAAGCTATGAATATATCGTGTATTTATACAATTATGTATTAAACTTTTTAAGATTTATTACAGATTTTAAGAAGTATTTCCGCTGCCGGGCTTCGAACCCAGAATTTTTCAAATTCAAAGAAGGAGCCATTGTGCTACAGCGGAAGTTTTGTTAAGCTATGAATATATCGTGTATTTATACAATTATGTTTTAAACTTTTTTAAGATTTATTATAGTTTTCAAGATTTTTACAAAAAGTATTTCCGCTGCCGGGCTTCGAACCCGAAATTTTTCAAATTCAAAGAAGGAATTTAGCCATTGTGCTACAGCGGAAGTTTTGTTAAGCTATGAATATATCGTGTATTTATAACAATTATGTATTAAACTTTTTAAGATTTATTACAGATTTAAGATTTTTTACAAAAAGTATTTCCGCTGCCGGGCTTCGAACCCGGAATTTTTCAAATTCAAAGAAGGAATTTAGCCATTGTGCTACAGCGGAAGTTTTGTTAAACTATGAATATATCGTGTATTTATAACAATTATGTATTAAACTTTTTAAGATTTATTACAGATTTAAGATTTTTTACAAAAAGTATTTCCGCTGCCGGGCTTCGAACCTTGAGGAATTTAGCCATTGTGCTACAGCGGAAGTTTTGTTAAGCTATGAATATATCGTGTATTTATAACAATTATGTATTAAACTTTTTAAGATTTATTACAGATTTAAGATTTTTTACAAAAAATATTTCCGCTGCCGGGCTTCGAACCCGGAATTTTTCAAATTCAAAGAAGGAATTTAGCCATTGTGCTACAACGGATGTTTTGTTAAGCTATGAATCTATCGTGTATTTATACAATTATGTATTAAACTCTTTTAAGATTTATTACCGATTTTAAGATTTTTTACAAAACGTATTTCCGCTGCCGGGCTTCGAACCCGGAATTTTTCAAATTCAAAGAAGGAATTAAGCCATTGTGCTACAGCGGAAGTTTTGTTAAGCTATGAATATATCGTGTATTTATAACAATTATGTATTAACTTTTTAAGATTTATTACAGATTTAAAATTTTTTACAAAAATTATTTCCACTGCCGGGCTTCGAACCCAGAATTTTTCAAATTCAAAGAAGGAATTAAGCCATTGTGCTACAGCGGAAGTTTTGTTAAGCTATGAATATATCGTGTATTTATAACAATTATGTATTAAACTTTTTAAGATTTTTTACAGATTTAAGATTTTTTACAAAAAGTGTTTCCGCTGCCGGGTTTTGAACCCGGAATTTTTCAAATTCAAAGAAGGAATTTAGCCATTGTGCTACAGCGGATGTTTTGTTAAGCTATGAATACATCGTGTATTTATAACAATTATGTATTAAACTTTTTTAAGATTTATTACAGATTTAAGATTTTTTACAAAAAGTATTTCCGCTGCCGGGCTTCGAACCTGGAATTTTTCAAATTCAAAGAAGGAATTTAGCCATTGTGCTACAGCGGAAGTTTTGTTAGGCTATGAATATATCGTGTATTTATACAATTATGTATTAAACTTTTTAAGATTTATTACCGATTTTAGATTTTTTACAAAAAGTATTTCCGTTGCCAGGCTTCAAACCCGGAATTTTTCAAATTCAGAGGAGGAATTTAGCCATTGTGCTACAGCGGAAGTTTTGTTAAGCTATGAATATATCGTTTATTTATAACAATTATGTATTAAACTTTTTAAGATTTATTACCGATATTAAGATTTTCTTGCCAAGAGGTATGATCACTCTCATAAATTAATTCAAAACTCAAGAATCTTTGGATATCATGTGTACCAAATATGATGAATCTAAACAGTGTGTGATTGCGACATTGAGCCTCATCAAACTAAACAATGCATAGCCCAAATCAACCCATATGATTCTAGATGCAAGACTGATAAACTACACCTTAAACCCTTCATCCCATGTAGATCCATAGTTCCATCATGACGTTGTAACGGTTAAACTACACCAATACTTGTTTAAATTAGTATACTTCCGACCAATACTTATTTAATTACCATCATGGAAGAAGCATTAATGTGAAAAAAATAATACTTCGACATGAACAAAACAAACATCTTTTTAATCCCTTATTACAAATACAAATTGCATGACTTTCCTACACTTCAAGATCTTTCTCCTCAAATCAAGAAAATAGCCAAACATCTCCAAGAAATTGCAAGAACAATGGACGATGTTAAAATTTGTAAAATACGTGCGGGTAGGGTCGTGTAAATTTTCTCTTTTTATTCACACTTCACGTGTTGTGTGTGGAACTTTGTTCACATTAGTTTAACAGCTCGACACAACCATATTCATACAAAGTCTTGATAGTATTGATTGCGTTAGAGCCAGAACCTTCAGAAAAACCCATTAAAAAAACAAAAAAAAATATTTTAAGGAACAACAAAATTTATTGCTCAGCACAGAAGGTTAGGGAGATCATTAAGAGTTCATTACAAAATTTTGGGAGGCTGAAACATTAATGTTCTTGACTCGTACGGATACTCTCATGTTCAGACCATAAACTAGTTATGTTTTTGTCTTTGTCAACAACCTCAATTAATATTTAGCAGTTGATGGTTGGAGAGGAACTTTTTATTTACTCTTTTTATCCTCTGCCTTTTAAAGACTACTTATTTCTCTTCTTCTTCTTTATTGCTTATAGCTTCTGAGCATCAATGGATCCACATCATAATAATCTTCTCTTTGTAGCCTTTCTTGTTCTCTGCTTAGCCGCGAATGAAGTAACTGGATATGCCACGGTTACAGGCTCGGTGTTTTGTGACCAATGCAAGGATGGAGAGAGATCTTTGTTTGATTTTCCTGTCTCTGGTAATAATAATTAACATTTTTACATTGCTGTCTATGCCTGTGTTCCTTAAGATGTGTTTGTTGATTTGTTGCAGGAATCAAGGTTAGTGTCACATGTTCTGATGAAAATGGAGAGGTCTATATGTCAAGAGAAGAGACTACTAATTGGCTTGGAGGTTATGTAATGAGATTTGATGGTACACCGGATCTGAGTAACTGTTATGCTCAAGTTTCAGATAATGGAGCTCAACAAGACCCAAGTAGCTGCAGCATTGCTTCAGGTCCTGCACAGAAACTTAAACTAATGTTCAGCTTTTTTGGGATTGAAACGTTTGCTACGGATGCGCTTCTTGCTCAGCCACTTCAGCCAAGGTCTTTTTGTCCTAAACCACCCGCAGCTCCGGTCATGCCTCCTCCTCAAGTCCCGGTCATGCCTCCTCCTCAGGTCCCGGTTAAGCCTCCTCCTAAGGTCCCGGTTATAAGTCCTGATCCTCCAGCAACATTACCTCCTCCTAAGGTCCCGGTTAGAAGTCCTGATCCTCCAGCTACATTGCCTCATCCTCTGGTTCCGGTCATAAGTCTTCCTCCAGTTACATCACCTCCTCAGTTTAAGCTTCCACCTTTGCCTCCAATGCCATTTGTAGAACCATCAGCTTGTTCTCACCAGTGAGCTTTCTCTCTGATTCATTCCATAGCACACTTCAAAAGTTTAAATCAATGCTGGACTTTCGGTTTTTCGGTTCCATATTTGTTGGCTCCATGAGTGAGCTTTCATTTTTATTCCTTATAGCACTTCAAATTATGCTTAGCCATTTGGTTTTAAAATTTGATTTTTCAACTAAAACCAAATTTTTTGTTGGTTTGAAATTTTTTGCCTATTCGGTATATATATGAAGTGTTTTGCCAATTCGGTATATATATTCATGAGTATTTTACTACTAGACTTTGATTTATTCGGTTTGGTTACGCTAAGCTTGGTTTTTAGTTCGGTCTTATTATGTATAGTTAACATTCCATATGAAGAGTAATATTTTTTTAACGTTTTGGCTTTGTGATATAGGTTGTGGATGAAACCTGAGTACAGATGCTACTGGAAGGTGATAGGTCCAGACACGAAGGTTGCGGTTGCATTTGGGCTAGTAGCCGGGAGGAGATACGGCACTGATATGACA